AAAAAAATGGCGGACAGCCTTGCTTGGCGACCCCCGTGAAATGGTCGATCGACCCCAAATGGGGTCCCGACCCACAGGTTGAGAACCACTGCTCTAAGCCAGGGGTAGGCAACCTTGGCTCTTTTATGACTCGTGGACTTCAACTCCCAGAATTCCTGAGCCAGCATGGCTCAGCTTGGAAACCTCTCCCTTTCTCCTCAGTGTGGCTGGCTCAGGAATTCTGGGAGCTGAAGTCCACGAGTCATAAAAGAGCCAAGGTTCCCTACTCTAAGCAAATTCCCTTACAAACTCCAGCCCTGCAGATCATAACCAGGTTGTTGCTTTCCTTTTCTTGAAAGATCAAAGATTTGCGCTCCCTCCACACCTCACAGAAGCTGCTACTCCAGCCTTATCTGTATTTATGCCTCACTGCCTAGCTCAGTGGTTCTCAACCTTTTTAATGCCGCGACCCCAACCGGTCGTAAGTCGAGGACTAAACCGATTGTAAGTCGAGGACTAAACCAGTCGTAGGTCGAGGACTACCCAACCGGTCGTAAGTCGAGGACTTTCCCTGCCCGGGAGCGCCACGCATGCGTGGTTCCGCCCCCTGCGCCGGCCGAGGCGTAGCTGGCAAGCGGCAGAGACAGAGCAGGCCGACCACCAGCTGGCCCAGCCCAAGGGAGGTAAGGCACCCGCCGGAAAAGGGGGAAAAAATGGCAGACAAAAAAAATGGCGGACAGCCTTGCTTGGCGACCCCCGTGAAATGGTCGATCGACCCCAAATGGGGTCCCGACCCACAGGTTGAGAACCACTGCTCTAAGCCAGGGGTAGGCAACCTTGGCTCTTTTATGACTCGTGGACTTCAACTCCCAGAATTCCTGAGCAAGCCATGGCTCAGCTTGGAAACCTCTCCCTTTCCCCTCAGCATGGCTGGCTCAGGAATTCTGGGAGTTGAAGTCCACGAGTCATAAAAGAGCCAAGGTTGCCTACTCTAAGCAAATTCCCTTACAAACTCCAGCCCTGCACATCGTAACCAGGTTGTTGCTTTCCTTTTCTTGAAAGATCAAAGATTTGCGCTCCCTCCACGCCTCACGGAAGCTGCTACTCCAGCCTTATCTGTATTTATGCCTCACTGCCTAGATCCTGCAGCCCTCCTTCTGAAATGAGGATCTGTGCTCCTCATTTGGTAAACAGGAGTTATGTCCTAAAACCTCCCCAAGAATACAGGCAGTCCTCGAATTACAACCGTAATGGAGCCTACCTATCGTGGTCATAACTTGTGACAGTTGTAAATCAGGTCACCCGCATGCCTGATTTTACAACTTTTTTCACGGCAGCCATTAAGTGAAAATCATGGTTGTTAAGGGAACCCACGGATCACACTATGGGACGGTTTTGCCAAAAGCCCAAAGCAAATGCTGGAGTGCCAGAAAACCATCATAAAATGTGGTCATGTGACTGCAGGATGCGGCAAATGGCTGCAAGTGGGACCTGGCTGCTCCCCCCCCCCCGAAATGCAATCATGTAACCACGGGGACGAGGGCACGGGTGACGGTTGGAACTTCCAGTCCAGGTTGTAAGTTAGCCTCAGGGAGATCCATCAAAACTCCAAACGGTTGCTAAACAACCAGTTGTGTATCGAGGACCACCTGTATCCTGCACAATCTTGAGGGGAGAAAACAACTACAGAATTATGCTACTTGAACAAAACCGGCTATTTCACACAGAGGTCCCCAACATTTTGGGCACCAGGGACCGGTTCCGTGGAGAAAGGTTTTTCCATGGACCGGAGGGTGCGTACGTCCCACGAATGGGGCTTTGCTTGTTTGTGCGGACTGGTTCCTGGCATGCCGCAGCCCAGTACCGGTCCACGGACCGGGGGTTGGGACCCCTGATTTAACAGAAGAGTTTTGTGACTCCCTAATGCAGGGGTCTCCAATAGCAGTGTTCCAATATCTCAGGGGCTGCCACAAAGAAGAGGGAGTCAAGCTATTCTCCAAGGTGCCTGAGGGCAGGACGAGAAGCAACGGATGGAAACTGATCAAGGAGAGAAGCAACCTAGAATTAAGGAGAAACTTCCTGACAGTGAGAACAATTAACCAGTGGAACAACCTGCCTCCAGAAGTGGTGAATGCGCCAACACTGGAAGTTTTTAAGAAGAAACTGGACAGCCATTTGTCTGAAATGGTGTAGGGTTTCCTGCCTGAGCAGGGGGTTGGACTCGATGACCTCCAAGGTCCCTTCCAACATCATCATCATCATCATCATCATCATCATCATCATCATCATCATCATTATTATTATTATTATTATCTTCTTTCTGGGTTGGCGGCCCAGTGGGAAAGGGAGAGGCAGTGCTTTTACGCACACATGCGCGCACACACACAAATGTGGCTGCGCACACGTGCGTACAAACAGGAGCATGAGCGTGTGCGCTCGCAAATGGGGTTGCTAGCGCCAGCGCGAGGCTCGTGGCTCAGCTAGCAGTTCGGCTAGCGCCATGCAAGGGGGTAAGCACGCGCACACGTGTGTGGACACTGGCGAGCCACTCACGCAGCCCAATAGCCAAGAAGCCACGGCCCGCTAGTGGGCCACAGGCCATAGGTTGGGGACCTCTGCCTTAATGATCAACTTTACATTCATGTTCGTCCTTAAGCATCCACAAGCCTTTTTATTCTGTTAAAAACAGCCTTCTTCTTTGAAGCAATTTTCTCAGTTCTTTCCCTGTACAAACATCGATTTTTAATAGCAGCATAAAACTACAGATGACAAGCAGCATTTTCAAAGTGGAGCGGCTGCTTCATGGGAAGGTGGTTCTCAGCGAAACAAGGCCAGCCGCAACATGGCTGTGTTGTTTAAAAGGAGAACCTACACACAAAACTGGCCCAGGTATGTTGGGACTTCATCTCCTGTGTGTGTTGCTCAAAATACCCGCAGAGCCGTCTGTTCCAGCCAGCAGTAAAGCTGCATTGAAGAGGAAACTACTACAAATCCCACACTTCTGGGTGGTTTGTGAGGGCCGAAGGAAGGAGAAGCAGGACTTTGTGGAAGATTCGGTTGGCCCCTCTGCCGATCTTTTGAAAACTCTTTTGACAAAGAAGCCGTTCCGACAGCCTTTACCTGATTTGGTTCGACGTTGCCATCTTTGTTTCTA